TAAGTGAATGTTGGTGATATGTTCTACAAAATTAACTTTAAAATATTTGGTATTACATATAGAAATACATAGGAATTCAAGGCTATGTATGCAAATAGCACTTAATTTTGTAATTAGTTGTACAAATGGCATTGACACATATGCATTAATTAAAATTTGGTTTTTTATTTTAAATAAATTAAAATTAGTGATATTTTTTTATCATTCATAAATTATAGTGTTAATATAAATAAGAGGTTTTTTTATTAATAATTATTCAAAATATTGAATATAATATTTTAACCACCCCAATTTTGAATATAATATAAATAAAAGGTTTTTCATTACAACCAATCTTCTTTATCCAAAATTATTAGGTGCGTCGTTCACATCTGTGATTCCTAATAGGAGGAGACGGGAAGAGAGTGGGTTCCTCCCCCTCTCCTTCTATTGGGAGTCCACAAGTGCATTTGGATACTTAAAATGTGATGTTAAAATATTATGTTTCAAAATTTAATGATTAAAATGTTATATTTTGAGGAAAAATTATTCCATACGGATCAGTGTAATCATTTGATCTACGGTCCGGATGTATTTCGGTAGGCCCCACCTAAATTTTTTTAAGAAAAAATGGAAACGGACAGGATCGGACACGCAATAATTTCTCTATTTTGAGTGGTTGCTGTGAAAAAACTCCTGTAAATAAATATAAATTCAGTCCAAAGATATATATAATCTTTGTACTCAGGAAAGGATGAGGCAGCCACTGCGCAGGCCAGAGACCTGTTTATTCCCTTCCGCTGCTTCTGCACCCGAAAAGATGTGAGTATCAATTCCATTACTCCCTCCCAAGCTCTCCCTCTCTCTCTCTCTCTCTCTCTCTCTCTCTATAGAGAGAGAAAAAACAGCAGCCTCTATCAGACAAGGGGGAAAAACTGATGAATTTGATCACAAAGCTTATTGCACATGGACACTGCACATAAATTTACGATGTTCAATCTAAATCATTAAAATATATATTTTTATTTTTTTAGATTAAGGCTTACTCTAAAATTTTTTAATCAGACACCGCATGTAAATCCACACCCTAGAAATCATAGAGAGAGTGCTTACTGCTATCAAAATTGTATTTCTACATCTACACATTTGGATGAAGGAAGCAGCAGCTCCAGCACATACATAATCACATAATCACAGAAGCTGGGAATCAGCTACAGTCTCTTAACTTGTTCACAGGTGAAATGCAGCGACATAATCCTCGAAGACAGAGACATAACAAAAGCCATCATCGAGTTCCTCTCACAAGCTGCCATAGAAAAACTGGTCGTCGGTGCCCAATCAAAAGGAGGATTTGTCAGGTGAAAGTTTTTAGCTTTCTGCTCATCTCCCTGATTTCAGAGGAAGCTCTCATGTGCTTATCATGGTTTCTTTGTTCTTAGAAGATTGAAGAGTAGCAGCGATGTTCCGAGCAGCATTTCTAAGAGCGCGCCTGACTTCTGCTCTGTATACGTTATTTCGAAAGGCAAGGTGGCTTCGGTGCGCAATGCTGTTAGGCCGCCACCAGTCTCTTCTATTCGAGAGGAAGTACATGCACAAGCGAGTTTCAAGCCCAAAGTCACAGAAAGGCCTCCACGTATGTTGAGTGATAGCAGAACAGTTGGTCTGCATTTCAGAAAAAAAAAAACTTGATTTTTTTTGGATCCTGTTGTGAAAAAAGAATTTTTCATTCTGCAAATACTTTTAAAATTCTTAGCTTCAAAGTTCATTTTTTTCAGTCAAAATGATTCAAATAAAAATCATTGTTTTTTTCTGAAATATTATGCTCAAATGGAAACAATAAAAACTTGGCCTTCACAACTCTTAAAGGCTAACAAATTCTGGTTAATAGATTGGTTATTTGTGAGAGATGATGGCATCTGACAAATCTTGAATACAATCATTGATAGTGGTTTAAATGGGATCAATCAAAATTTAAGATTTAAATTTCTAAGAAAATAATTTTTTTAAAAAAAAATGGGATGCGTAAAATAAGATATTACATCTCTACAAAATAAACCCCTCACGGTTGTCTTGCTAACCAACTTGTTCATGGAACCCTCATCCCCCTCTTCCAGGTGATGACTCCTTTAGTGAGGAAAGGGAAACAATAAGGTCACCATTCACTCGACCTGGAGCAAACCAGAGATCATATATGGAAATCTCAGTGCCAGAAATCGATATATCATTTGTGAGCTCAGAAACATCATTTCCCAGCTCTAGCTCTGGAAGGCCAAGTTTTGATCGCCCCCCCTTACACCCAATGCCCTCCAATTCATCAAACATCTTGGAACCTAGCTCCAATTTCATGGGAACACCAATTAGAATAGACAAACATGTCGGCTCCTTCACTGACCACTCCTGCTTACAAGACCTTCAAAACATGGTGAGATTTAATTTCTTGTAAGATCATTGCAGACTGCCCCAGTTGTTTACCAGCTTTAATTTTGCTTTTCTGTTGCAGGAAGATATGGAAGCTGAGATGAAGAGATTGAGATTAGAACTGAAGCACACTATGGACATGTACAGCAATGCCTGCAGGGAAGCAATCACAGCCAAGCAGAAGGCAATGGAGCTTCACCGGTGGAAGATGGAGGAAGAGAACCGCTTAGAAAAAGCAAAGCTTGCTGAAGAGACTGCACTGGCTATGGCTGAGAGGGAGAAAGCAAAGGCCAAAGCTGCCATAGAGGCAGCCGAGGCGTCGAAAAGAATTGCAGAGCTTGAAGCAAGGAAGAGAATTGATGCAGAGATGAAGGCGGTGAAGGAAACAGAGGAGAAGAACAGAGCATTGAGTGCATTGCATAATGACATTTACAGGTATCGGAAGTACTCCATAGAAGAGCTTGAGTTGGCCACCAACCGCTTCGCAGATAGCCGGAAGATTGGAGGTGGAGGCTACGGTCCACTGTACATAGGCCAACTGGATCACACAACGGTAGCCATCAAGGTTCTACGTCCCGATTCTTCCCAAAGTAGATTACAATTCGAGCAAGAGGTATTTGTTCTTTAAAAAAAAATTGATTTTTCTTGATGGAACAACATTATTCTCAACGAAAAAATATCACGTAAGATTCTCTGCCTGCAACCAGGTTGAAATCTTGAGCCGAGTGAGGCATCCAAACATGGTTCTCCTCCTTGGCGCATGCCCTGAGTATGGCTGCCTCGTCTACGAGTACATGGCCAATGGAAGCCTCGACGACCGCCTCTTCCGGCGAGGAAACACGGCGCCGGTCCCCTGGGA